AATGTTACAATATGATCCATCGTCTTATTTCCTTATTTTTTTTTCATTTGATCTTCCGTCTGTTTTGTGGTTCCTGATTGATTAATTTGGTACAAAACAGATACACGACCAAACAGAAATAAGACGGTGGGCCACATTACAACATTTTTATTTCTTTAAGGGGGCAATGTGAAAAAACTAATCATTATGGGGATAAATTGAGATGTTTGTATCTTTCAGGGGCAAAATGGAATTGACACTAAATTTTGATCTTTCGAGTGACTTCTCTTCTTTACTTCTTCTTCCTCAACTTTTCCTTTTCTTCTTCCTTCTCCCTCTCTTTCCTTCTCCTTTTTCACCTTTTCCTTCTCTGATTCTATTTTTGTTTCCGTTTCTCGCAATTCACTAATGTTCCTCAGAGTCGTCTTAAATTTTAATCTTTCGAGTGACTACTCTTCTCTTTTCCTTCTCCTTCCCTTTTCCATTCTCCTCATTCTCTTCCTATTTATCCTTCTCTTTCTCCTCCCTGATTCTCCCTCTTGTTTTCCTTCTTCTCCTTCTCATTGTCCTCCTCATTCTTTTTCTCTTTCTCCTCACTTCTTCTTCCTCCTGATTTTCCTACTATTCCTTCTCTTTCCTTTCTCATTTTTCCTTCTCCCTCTTTCCTTTTCTTCTATTTCCTCCTCAATTTTATCCCTTCTCCTCCCTCTTCCTTTTCCTCCTTTTTCTTCTACTCTGTCTTATTCTGGATTGTTTTCTCCTCTTCTTCTTCCTCATTCTCCCTCTTCTCCATTCTTCTCCCCTCTCTTTTCCTCTTACTCCTTTTTTTCATTGTCATCCTCCTTATCATCATTCTCTTTCACCTCCATCCTTCTCTTTTCTACTTGCTTATCCTGTTTGCTTCTTCTTCCTCCTCCTATTCCTTTTTCTTAAACTCTTTCTTATTATTCCTCTCCTTCACCTTTTTTTAATACTCCACTTTCTTCTTATTCCTATCATTCCCATTCTTCTTCCTCTCCACCAATGTGTGCCCATCATAAAAGAGTATTTTGTAATATTTACTTAGTGCTATTTTTTTTCTTCTTTTACTCCTTCATTTTCTTCCTCCTCCTCCTCTTTTTCCTCACTCCTTCCTCCCAATTTTCCTCCCTTTCATTCTTTTTCTTTTCCCATGCTCTTTTTTCCTCTTCTATTTCTCCTTTTTCTGCATCTCTTCCTACTTCTTTTTCTTCTCTTTCTTATTCTCCTTCTCTTCTCTTTTTCCTCTTTTTTTTTTTCCTTCTCATTGTCCTCCACCTCTTCCCATCATCATCATCATCACCATTATCTTTCTCCTCTATCCTTCTTTCTCTCTTTTTTCTTTCTTCTCCTCCCTCCTTTTTCCTCTTTTTTGTTCTACTCTTTCTTATTGTTTCTCTCCTTCACCTTTTTCTTCTTCTGTCTTCCTCTTCCTATCATTCTCCTCCTTCTTCCTCTCCATCAATGTATGCCCATCGCAAAAGAGTACTTTACAATATTGACTTAGTGTTGTTTTGCTTTTTTTACTCCTGCTCCTCCTTCATTCTTCTTCTTCCTCTCCTTCCTTTTGTTTTTTCTCCCTCTCCTCCTCCTCCTCCTCCTCCCCCTTCCCCTTTTCCTTCCCCAATTTTGTTTTAGTTTCTGTTTCTCGCAATTCACTGATATTCCTCAAAGCCACTATAAATTTTGGAAAAAAATTTATTTTTCCCTCTAAAAAATACAAAAATTCTCAGTTTACCTCATGAATGATTAATTTTTTTCACATTACCCCTATAAACTAATAAAAATGTTGCAATGTGATCCACTATCTTATTTCTTTTTTTTTTGTTTTCATTTGGTCGTCCGTCTGTTTTGTGATTCCTGATTGTTTGATTTGGTACAAAACAGATGGACGACCAAACCGAAATAAGACAGTGGATTACATTGTAACGTTTTTATTTCTTTGAGGGGATAATGTGAAAAAATTAATTATTCGGGAGGCCAAACTGAGCATTTTTTGTATCTTTCAAGGGCAAAATGGAATTGATCATAAATTTTGATCTTTCAAGTGACTTTTCTTCTTCGTCTTCTCCTTCTTCCTCAGCTTTTTCTCCCCTCCTTCCTTCTCCCTCTCCTTCATTCTTTCCCTTTTCCTTCTCCAATTCTGTTTTAGTTTCTGTTTCTCGCAATTCACCAATGTTCCTCACTTCCATTCTCTTCCTCCTTATCCTTCTTTTTTTTCCTCCCTCATTCTTCCACTCGTTTTTCCTCCTCCTCCTTCTCTTTCTCTCCACTTCTTCCTCCCAATTTTTCTCTTTTTCCTTCTCTTTCTCCTTTTATGCTCTTTATCCCTCTCTCTTCTATTTCCTCCCTTCTTTTCCTCCCTATTTTCATTTTCCCCTTTCTCCTTCTCATTGTCCTCCTCCTTATCATCACTCTGTTCCCTCCATCATACTCATTATGCTCTTCCTCCTCCTCCTCCTCCTTCTCATTGTCCTTATTCTTCCGTACCACCAGAAATTAAGCTAACCCCCAGAAATCGCAGTTTCAAAGAGCAAATCAATAGCGGTCCTTATTCATTCCCCTCCGGTGTAAAGTGTTGAAGTGACTCACTAAAGATTCCACAAGTGGGATTATCTGCTTCCCAAGTTGAACTACTTCGATGACTGTTCTGTGGCGACATCAAGTCACCACTGATACGTGGTGGCACTATGTAATGACAAACAATAAGTGGTTAAAATGAACTTCATTTTATTGCATAAGTAGTTATTATCTTATATAGATAGGGTATTATTAAACTTTATAGGATTCGCTTGTCTACTTATATTATTAGGTGGTGACACCACTAACTCCCTGAAGTGGAGGAAAAAGAGAGTGAACAACTGTCTTGATCTACAATGCGATGCAGATTTTATTTCAGTTAAAACGGAGTTACCATCAATACCATGAGATTAAGATACTTTTCATTATACTTTTGCTCAACTTTACTCATTGTTAAATTATCTATCATTAATGTAAGTGGAACCCATTATTTATAAGTGAGCCCCTTACCTTATACACAGGGTGTGATCTATTAGGAAAAATGCTACTTGGACTAAAAATGCTTACTTAATTTTTTGACTTCAAGAATCACAATTATTAAATATGTAGTGAGTTTCAATAAATACTGGGACCCTCAATTAAATCAATAACAATTACTCGATCTAGTGCATAAGATCCATGATTAACCAAGAATTTCTTGTTTCTAATATCGTTTTCCCTTACATTTTTTAAAGCTCTTGATGTGAAATCATCTCTAATAATGATGATCACTTAAAGAGATCTTGATTAGGATAACTAATTGAGCCAAAGGGAGATAGCTGGACATCATCACTTATAAAATTTGAATGTACTGCATTGTCCAACAGGGAAGGTGTCATTGCTTCTATACCCATCTCCTCTTTTATTTTCATAACACTAGTAATCCCGTGTGGTGAAATATACTTCTTCAACCAAGTGCAACCCAGCCTCCTCTGCTAACTTCTCTATCTCCCACATACTGAAAGGATATGCTGGCTTGTGAGTCACGTGCATTCCTGAGGAATCCCCTCACCACGTCCTGGTGAAGTCTGAAAAAAGCATAATAATAATTCACTTTTAACATTGTGTTGTGGAGCTTTTGAACCATCCCATGGGGTTTTAAAAAAAATATCTCAATTAAAGATTGGTTTGAAAATAATTCTCAAACTCAAGTACTTTTAAAAACGTCAATTGGTTTGACGTTTCTGGGCTTAAAGACGTCAGTCGGTCTGACATTTTTAGCCTAAAAACGTTAGTCCAAATGACGTTTTTAAGCTTGAACAGGCACATTTCAATGACCTTAAAAATTTCAGTACAACTGACGTTTTTTCCCTCCCCTTCTTTCTTTCCCTTATTTTCCCTTCTTCCCCCCCTCCCCATCTGAGCCCTAACGTTTTCAGGCGAGAGAAATAGAAATCTCACCATCTACACCCCCTAGCCAACTGCTAGCACCGCCATTGCATCATCATCCACAACCACCAAGCACCACCCAACCATCGAAGCACCGCCACCTTCGAAGGCCGCCCCATCACCGCCTAGCACTACTCGGTACCCGAGAACGCCTCTTCGTGACATCACCACTATTGTGCTGGTAAATGTTTTTCAACTTTTCTTGATCTCTTGAATGGTTGGTGCTTGATTTGGTTGTGCTTATATTGCTTGAACAATAGTTGGTTTTATTCAATTTGTGCGCACATTTTGTTGCATTGATCAATTAAAGTTGAATAGATCTTTTTTCTTCTATGGTTCCTTTAGGAACATTTCTCTGTAAATCTGGTAGTTTGGTTCTTCTTCATAGGAAGAGTGGTTAAATGGGTTTAGAATGATTGGCGAAGAAAAGGTTTTGAACCATCAGATTTAAGTGTAATTTTTCATAGGCTTGAACATATAGGAAAGGTAATTTGTTGGTCCACTGAAAATCTTGAGTATAAATAAAGATGGGTCTACTTCTAGATCCACCCAAGTATCTTTTGGATTGATAATAGTTTTATTTTGAATCCAGTTATAATATCAATATTGAATGTTTTTAACTTGGGTGCTGAACATCATTAGAGCAATGTCATTCTTGAACCGAAGGTGTTATGCCTTTTAATATTTCGAAAGAGTTCTCTTTTGCAATTTTTCATCTTTTGTATAGAGTGTAACTGATGTCACGAAGAGGTGTTCTGGGTATTGAGTAGATTATTGAGTTGTGTTGATTATTGATTGTGTTATTGAGTTGAGTTGATTATTGATTGTGTTATTGAGTAATTGGATTAGAGTAATTGGTCCATTCCCTGAAGTGTATATATGTATGTTCTAAATTGCCAATGTGATCTTTCTTGGAAATGGTTATTGCCAATGCTGCCTTACAAGCTCTTTGTGCCTGATTCAAGTGCTAGAGAACCCAAGTCAAATTAATCTTCCAGTCAAAGGCAGAATGCCACTAACTGAAAAATCAGTGAATGGAGCAAAAAAATCAGCAACTATGTATAGCAGACTGATCTTGATTTTTCAGTTAGTGGCATTCTGCCTGACTGGAAGATTATTTTTATTCCAGGAGTCCTGTATGCTTTCTGCAAGGCTGAAAAGGATGGGGTTCTAAGAGTATCACCACATCATACTAAAGTGAGGCAACTAGAATGCTACTCTGTCAAACGAGTATCACCACATTATAATGCATCCAATTAATTGACAAATACATGCACATTCCAGAATAGACTTTCATCAACGGTACTAATGTTGACCAAAAGAAAACGTGGCTATGCACCATTATTGATTAAGAATTGCAATGTCAAACAATATAACAGGTAAAATTCTGGATGAATCAAAAGAAAGAACAAGCCATACCTGGTGAATAATCGCGGGTGTCAATTTAAAAGTAACTTTGTTAGACTGAAAAAATAACATTCAAAGAAAATAAGCATTATAGAAATTGCCAGAAGTTACAAAAACTAGAAATGAGTCTACTTAGTAAACAATGCACCTCAAGTAATCTTGCAAGTAAAAAACAGAACTTAGAATTCATAACATACGTTTCAAACTTCACGAGAGAGAGAGAGAGAGAGATCTATGTTATACCGAACCATCAGAAGATGGTTTGACATGGAACATGTCATTTCTCAACCCCACCTGTTGTTTTGATTTTCTGCTGGCATTCTCATCCAGCAACTTCTGCACTTTATCGTAAAATAAACTTTTCTGTTACAGCTTTCCCAAGAGTATATCTAACTAATAAAAAGAGCACATCTCTCCAGGTAGACACACATAGGCTCACAGTTCAATTCGCTTATCCTAAAATCCATGTTCGTAGAAGCTGACATATTGGAAAAAAAATAACCAATAGCTAACCTTTCTTGTTGCCCAAAATTCAGCCTCTGATAGGACACCTCCAATCACTAACTGCTTATGAAGTTTCTGCAACTCACTGCAAATGATACCTTATCAACTAAAAGAGAAACTTACATGTGAAGAGACGAAATACTAAATTCAGCAGCCAATGATACAATGAAACTGGACATTTTATCAAAAGTTCTGTTCATATTTCACAAGAGTATGCCAACAGTTCCATAGGAATTCAGACATTACATAATTTGTAGTAACTTGCACAATGATACTACCTTGAAATCCACCTGGCATATAGTTTCAGAATAATATGTTTATGCAAACGTAAGTAACTGATAAAAACGAACAACAAGATTCTTGTAGTCACAAAGTGCATAAGTTGAACAATAATTTGCCGTGGAACAAACAATTTTTGTCAGGATAACCGGAAGTGAGTTTACCTATCCTCCTGCAGTAGTCTAATCCGACGCTCCATCTCTGCATGGCTAAGTTGTTCATCTTGAAGTGGAGCAGCTGATCTCTCAGAACCAGCTCTTCCAGCTTCTCCGGATACTGCAATAGCTGTTGCTGTTTGCAAGTTAACAGATACAAAATCTTCATGTGAACAATTTCATCCAATATAAGCTACCCAATTCTATAAGAACTTTATCAAATCAAGACAGTATATTGAGGTTGATTATTCCAAACACTCTAGATGATGTCCAACTACGTACTTAATTATAGTTAATAAGAGAGACTTACCAACATATTCACGACAAGCATCACGATCAGAAAAAGTGTCAAATTCAAAAATGTAATTTCCTCCCTGGACACAAATAAGATTTTCAAGTTTAAGTCACTATAATTGAAGCAACAGTAAATATGCTTAGTTAGACACAAAAAAATATCAATATATCATGAAAAGTATTGTGCAATATCATGTAACGAACACCCATAGATGGAGTTCAACCTAACTGCCATAAGATTCAGCAACTGAACAAATTTAAAGGATTCCTAAAAGAACTGTCTAGAAGGTAATATAGCAGAGGAGAAACCTGATCCACTGTGAGATTAAGCAGGGCCTGTTTGTTGGAACCCTCCTTGGTAAATTTGTGACCTGAAAACTCACAACAAAGACAGATAGAAACACATTAACAACTTTGTCACAAAATAATAAGATGTATGCTAAACAAAATGGACAATAAGATGGATTAATTAAAGGAACACTCAGCTTCCTACATCCAAAGCAATCCTGACGAACAGTATGACAAGGCGCATAGGTATTTTCGCAACAATTTTCCCGTTTTCATTTATAAACCGCAAAATGGCAATCAAAGACCACTCTTTTGGCACTACTTACATCTCATCCTAACCATCCAGCACTTCCAGCAAAAACAAAAAAAAAAAAAAAAAACTCATAGACTGTAACATTGCATCATCTTGCAACTAACAATTGAAAACTCTCCTAAAGGATCAAGTGCATTAACAAACAAAGTACCTTTAACCAATCTAAACTCTACATTAAGCCTTGCAGATGATTTCGGATCATTTGGCCTAAAAAAAAACCTCTGCCGAGTCTGCACGCAGTAACAACAATGAAGCATTTTCACATGTAGAAACTTTGCTCAATTATCAAAAAAAATTACCATTTTCAGAACACCAGGAACTCCAAAGTCCTTGACTGACGATTTATACCTTGCACACTTTATCACCTGCCCGTCAGTCATTTCCGGCGACTTCACACAAGTATATCAAAGCTTTGCTTTGTTTAGTATTGCCGGAGTGGTCGGAGATCTAGTCTCTGTCCGCTGGGGGATGTGGTCTCTGTTGCCATGAATCTAGTCGCTGTTGCACGATGTGGTCTCTACACCGTTGATTTGGTCGCTCGTGAGAGAGAGAGAGAGAGGCCTCAAACGGTGGGTGTTAGTGTGGGGAAAGCAAAGAGAGACCTAACAGACAGTAGTGCGTTAGCAGCGGTGGGTACGCCATCTCTGCTATTGGTAGTGGATCTGGTGCAGTTAGTCGATAACAGAAGAGAAGGAGAGAAAGCGCGAGAGAGGAAGTGAATAGGCGTGAATTATGGAGAGAGGGATTTGGGTGTCAATTTCGGGAGATAGGGGAGGAGAGATAAGAGAGTATAAAATGAAAAGCTTTTACTTAAAAACCAAAAAAAAAAAAAAATTCCTTACCCAACATAAAAAAAACATAGAAATTAGACCGGTCGTTTGGTAACGGTTTTATTTTAGTATTTTTTTAAAAAAAATAAAAATAAATTTTATTTATTTGATGATAAATAATAAAAATATGTTTGAAAGTTATTTATTTTTATCTTTTTACGAAAACAAAATAAAAAAACATATTTAATTAACCGGTCCAAGTTATACAAATACAAATCAATATTTATAATATCACGTACAATAAAATACAAATTAAATTTTATTATCTCAAAAGATTCATTAATTCATCAAATAACACAAAATAAAATAATTACATTAAATAAGTCATTAAACATATCACACATTCAACACACAGCACACGCTCAACAGATCAGCACACACAGACTCACACACACTGATACATAACACATAAAATGACACAGAATTGTTTAGGGAAAAAAGAAAAAAAAAAAAGAGATGGGGACCTATTCAATGCCTATATAAAACATATATATATACATAGATCTAAAAGTGTTTACCCTATTGTGCACAACGAGAGACAAAAAGATTGATGGATTTTCTGCATAGATGACTTCTTCGAGTTCTGGGTTCAAAGCATCGAGGAGCAAAGCTTCATTGCCTTCTTCGAGTGTGTTTGTTCTTCGACCTTCTTCATCGTCCAGAACATAGAGATGAGAGATGTGTGTGCGTGTGTGTGAGACCAGAGCGAGACAACAAAAACCCACAATTTATACCTACATAACAAATAGGGTTAATTTCAACTTACACCTTAAAAGATCATTCGAATTTTAATTTATACCCTCAAAGTTTAAAAATATTAATTTATACCCTAAAAGACATAAATTTGTGTTAATGTGCACCAGGGGTTAGCTACCATCCATTTTGCCGTTAAAAAAGTTTGGAATAATTACAAACTACACTTTTAAAGTTTAAATATTTCACATTTATGATTACAAAAGAATTTATCCATTAATACTTGTTAAATACCTCTCAATTGTGTCATATCATGTTATTTTGTATCATGTCATATCATTTTCGTATTGTGTTCAAGTCGATAAAAAAATATTTTTAACACAAAATATTTTCATATCGAGTCAATTGCATTATGTCGTATATTTCACATTTACGACAATTTATATAATACTATTTAATATTTTTTTAAAATTAAAAAAAATACTTATTTTTTTACCTACAATGCTCATTAAATAACTATTTTTTTTCTACACTTGTGTTATTCAAATCTAACTTTAATTTGATCGAACAGAAAATTTGTGTCTATTTGTAGACAAAAACTATTTAACAAGTATAATAAGCAAAAAATATGTATTTTATAATTATTAAAAAAATTTAAAATATTTTTTTATTGATTCGAACATGACACAAAAATGTTATGGTACGATACAATTGAGAGCTAATTAACGAGCATTAATGAAAGAAATACTATTTTTGGATCATAAATATGAAAATTTTGAGTTTTAAGGCTGCAATTTATAATTAATCCAAACTTTTTTAACGACAAAATGGATGACAGTTAAGCTGATATGCACATTGATACGAATTTATATCTTTAAGGTGTAAATTGATATTTTTAAATTTTGAGAGTACAAATTGAGATTCAAGTGATCTTTTAATATACAAGTTAAGATTAGCCATAAAAAAATAATCCAATGTTGTTGTTAACAAGGTTCAAGACCTCATTAAAAAATTGGGAGAATTATACTCAGACCTCTTGAAATTTGTCATTTAATCACTTAGATCCTCTGATATTTGAAATATTATACACAACCCTCTGAGATTTGTATGCGACTTACACTTAGACTCATATCGTCAACGTGTTAATAAATCCATTAAAAAATTACATCCATAACCCTTAAAGTTTATAGCGTGTAATACTTAAACCCCTCAAGTTTGAAATATTATACTTAGATCAAAAATATTTCAATTAAAAATAAAATATCAAATATTTTAAATTTTACAACCAAAATTCATATTCTATTATTAAATTTATTGAAATAAAATAAAAAATAAAAATCTATTTTTAAAAAAAAAATTATAATTAGTATATAATCATACTATCTATTAGAATTTAATTTAGTCATTTAAATGACCAAATTACTCCAATTAAAACTAAAATATATTATGTTCATTATAGTTTGGTAGCCTTATCTTACTCAATAGCTCGCGTTTGTTCAGTTGAATGAATGTGAACTAAAACCTCTCTGAATGCTCCATCCGTTGCATGTTGCCTTCTCCTCCAGGTTTCCGGTCTACGATTCTTGGGGCAAAGCCTACTAATACCTGATACATAAAGGCGCATCGAGCTAATATAGCTGGAGTTACTTAGACCATTTGGTCATTTAAACGACCAAATTATCCCAAGTAAAATTAAAATATATTGTGTTCATTATAGTTTAATCCCTTATTTGATTTTTTAGTTTTATTTCAATAAATAGTATAATTATATATTAATTATGAATTTTTTAAGAAAAAAATAGATTTTTATTTTTGATTTTATTTCAATAAATGACATAATAAAATATGATTTTGGTTTGTAAAATTCATGTTATGTTATGAATGACTTAAATCTCATGCTTGATTTTTTTAATTTTATTTCAATAAATTATACAATAGATAATGAATTTTGGTTATAAAATTTAAAATATTTTATATTCTATATTTGATTGGGGATATTTTTTGTCTAATTATATCATTTTAAACTTAAGGGGTGTAAATATTATATACTTACAAACTTTAAGGGGTCTGAATTTAATTTATTAATAGATATACTAACAGACATTTGGCGACAGGGGTCTAAATATTACGTGTGTACAAACTTTAGGGGGTTTGTATGTAATTTTTAATTTTAGGGGGTTTGAATGATTAAATGACAAACCTCAGCGGTTTGAGTGTAATTTTTTCTAAAAAATTTTGACTGACGATTCGCGTGTTTTAGTTTTGGGTTGTTTCCCAAAACATCAGTTTTTTATTCCCATTTTTTTAGTTTGTTTCCAAGACAACATAGATGAAACAAACACAAAATTAATTACCAAACACATTTTTTTTTTTTTACAAAAACTCAAAACAAAAATATAAAACAGCAAACAAACAACCCCAAAGTTTTTTGGGCAATATAAAATTTTGAGAATTCATTTTGGTGCGTAGAAACAATAAATTTTGAGATAATCTGAGATATTAAAGGGCAGTTGGGTTGGTTTTTTGGGTTTGGATTGATTTGTCCAAACCCTTCCAATCCCAGAAATGAGATTTAAAGATGAGATTCAACATTCAATGCAGTCTATATCCATGTTTAGTATGCGCATGGATATATAAATATTATGATAATATATTTGTATATAAATCACTATTGTGCTCCTTAACTAATTTAATCCAAACTCATGTTTGTTTAGGTACATGAGTTTTATGGGGGTATAAATGTCATTTTGTATATTAAACCCATTAAGCTCCATATGAAACCCATGAACTTGGGTTTAAATTGCAGGCTGAGTTTAGTAAATTGGGTTATAAATGTAGATGTCAAACATGGGTTTGTTGGGTTTTGTGGACTTTTATTCCTCAACCCATCTTCCAAATCCTTTGTCCCACGTACCAAACAGGTCCTAATAGTTTGTGACAAATCGAGATAGTATCGTCCGTCGGATGATATATATTTTTTTTTTTATCATAAAACGAGCTTAGTCATTTTTTTGTCTTTGAATTCAAAACTTGTTCTATTTTATTATATAAACTAGTAATTGTTTGTGTCTGAAGATACTATTTAACAAACAAAAAAATTACAAGCAAGCTTGAAGACGGTATATAACATAAAATATAGTCAATCAATCAAACCACCTAAAACTACCTCCAACTATTCAATCCAATATGTTTTAGAATATTTAGTACATCATAATATTTAAAATTAGAAATAGTGATACATTTCATAGAATCAAGACTAAAAAAAATGACATCTAATATTAGATCTAGAAGATGGATATTATATTAGTCACAAAAATCAAATACCAACCAAATGCAAATTGAAATTCATCCCAAACTCTCGCAAAACATTAGATTCATAAGAGTATTTAACTCAGTTTTCGATGTAGAGAATATCCATTAGTTAACATAGTTATGTTAAATCCATATCAAGAACGTATGAAACAAAAAAGAAAGTAAAGCTGAGACCTTAGCCTGATATTTAATCAAAGTCCAACACACAAATCTGGGTTTTTTAATTTGAAACTAAGCATGATCACCTGTGAAAAGATTGAGATAAAATCCAGATTGAATTTGATGGAAACTTATCATCTTTTTAGTGCTTGTTTTGAATTAATTGCTTCATCTAGGTGTGTGAGTTTGGAAAATATATCATCTTTTTGGTTTGTCAATTTAGTACAACTACAAAAGCTCTTTGCTTTTTGGGTTTAGAGAGTAGGTTTATATGGCCCTAGACTAGAGTGCCTACTTTTTGAAATTATTTCGCATATTGGAAATGGCATAAATTCTACAGTTGAGGCTTTACCTGACCAAGATTGATGCTTTATGTTATAGACATTGGAACGCTTCTGGTAAACTTGTATACAGGGTTCTAGTTTGATGGATTCGATAATGCCATTTGAACATGTTCACTCTACTTGACTCATCAAAATCTAGGACCTTCTTTTCTTCTATTTTCCCTTCTTTTTTTCCCCTTTTTAATGGATACTTGTTTTTTTTTCCTTTTTAATCCATGTCTCAATTTGGGAATCTCTTTCATAAGAAAAAGGTGGACTATTGGTTTACCCCCATACTGTGCAAATTCTAGGACTAGCAGTAAATTTTGCTTTTTTTTTTAATAAGAAACCAATCTAAGGACAATCACTACCTCGCTCCCAAGTAATAGATGCCTAAGTTGATAACAAATAGTCTCAAAAGCATTCCAATGAAATGACATAACAAATTATGAAACTAATGTCTAGCTTTTGGAGATCCCACCCTTGTGAAAGAGTAATTAGCAAGGAGTTACAGGCAAAAATCCAGCAGGCACCTATAATTGCATATGAAAAATGCAATTCATACCAAAAAGTACTTTTACCAAATGAGTTGGTGGGGTTCAAGAGTGAAATGAAGGTGTGAACTCATTTAGTAAAAATATCTTTTGATAAATATTTTTATAGGCATGACATTAGTCTTGCCATATAGGTAAGTTTCAAACTGCAAATTAGACCATTCACTGGACAAACACATGAGAACAAGCATAACCACTGCAATTTTACCTCTTAAAACAGTATTTTTCAGCAGAAAATTCAGCTCAAGGTACAATCAAATAGTATAATGCTCAACATTGTCAAAATCTCTCTGCCAATCTGACAGAAACTGCTCTAAGTTTCAAATAAACCTTGCCAGCAGGGGACCCCATGATAAGGCTACAGAGAGAATCTCTTGCAATTTTGACGTTGGCAAAAGAACCCAGTATATGAATTTTGGTGTCTGCAATCACAATCCGAGTCTTCGTAGAGTTCTTAATTGCAAACTTAGTTTTACCCCCTTTACTAGATAATCTTCCAATGGCACGAGACAAGTGCTCGCCTCGAAGGGTTTTCACATCTTTGATCTCAAAAGACTCCACATAGAGTTCGTCCATGAGGAGAATTGCAACGACGTCAATCACGTCGAATCCAAGCATGAAAGCGTGCACAAAACAACACATTTTTGGAGGTTACTGATGTCGGGTGTGTCTGATCTGGTCTTCAATTCAACCTTGCGAGCCTTGAGATTCATACGAATGTCGATTTTCATCTGCTCGTATATAGGAGTGTAAATTTCCATCCACGCTTTTCTTGAAGGCGTATATCGATGCGGTGGTATAGAGACTTTCCTGAACTGAACTTGACCATCGGATATCTCGTGAGCCTTCAAAGGTGCAAAGTTTGGTTTTGAAGCAAAAGATACACGATTTGATTCAGATAGAACTTTCTCAAGTTCCATGGACGTGGCACCTTCATCGGACTGCATCGTATGATCTGTAAAGAGAGATGCGAGCGCTATCCGTAGAGAAAGAGAGAGAGAGAAGGGGAGAGCTGATGAGGAGGAGGAAAGGCGTCGAGGTACAGCTACAGGGCCTGTATCCTCTTCCTGTTCTTTGGCTCACAAAACCCTAGAATGCGATTGCTTAGTGGATTATATGGGGCCAACACTAACCCTGAGAAGGAGGAGATAATTACAATAACGGCCTCACTATTTGCACCGATTTGAGGAGGTTACCCTCCGAATTTAAAATATTATAGTGTGCCCTCTCTAGTTTAATGTTGAAATTTAGATGACAACTTTACTGTGATGAATTGGTATAAATTATAAACGATGTGTGACTATAACAAGGGTAAATTATATATTTGTCCCATTTACTATGACTCTTTTTAAATATTGTCCCATAAAAATCATTTATTTTACATCATACACTTAATCATGTGATTAGTTTAACACCGTCTCAACGATTAACATTCATTATAAATTTAAGAAAAAATTGTTTTACTTTTTTTTTTCAGAAAAATGTGATTTTTTTTACTTTATCCCAAAACTTAACAATTCCTATCAAAAAGAAGGCAATCATTTGTATTTGGTGTAATGTAAAATAATTTAAATAATTTAGGAAATAATGTGAAAACTCAAGGGACAAAAGAAAATCGATTCCATAAATTCAACGACAAAGAAATATATATAAAAAAAATACTGAATCTTCAACCGAGCCATGGTTTGGCCCCATAATTTTATACCCGACCCGACTGAATGTCTAACTCTTCCATAAAAAAAGGTTAGATGATACCATTTGGCCTAGGAATGGACATGAATACAAATTTTTGTTACTATTTAATGTCGACGTTCTCTCACGCATCTCGATGGACCCTAGGCCTTAAAAACGGCCCATGGGTTACAACCTTTGCCAACCAGCCCACACTTCATGGAAGAAAAATAGATCCTACATTGATTTGAAAATAAGTCTAGAAACTTTTCACTTGGAAGAATATGAAAGATTTAAGTTTTTTTATTTTATACTCTCAAAAATGAGATTTTTACATTGTACCTTCAATGTATTAAAAATATTTTAATATGGTACTTCCATTATCTTTAGTTATTTATTCTGTCAAAATCATTTTATTGAAGTTGACAGAATGAGTAGTGATATTGCAATAACTTTTAATATATTGAAGAAAAATATGAAAAATTGAATTTTTAAAGGTGTAAAATAAGAAATATTAAATTTTTAAGGATACAAAATATAATTTACTCTTTTCCTTGACCTCAATCACGCCAAATAATGACTAAATCTTCCCCTCTGCCTAACGGATCTTCTCCAATCTGCTTTCCAAATTCGAATACTTCTCTCTTCATTGCTTTCCTAATTCAAATACTTCTCTCTCTCTCTTCTCTGCTTTCCTAATTCAATTAGACCTCACACCTATATATTCTCCCTCTCACCCAATTCAATTGTCTCTCTCTGTGCACAACACCCTTCTTTCTTCGCCCGCCCCTCTTCTCTTCTACTCTCCCTCACTTCTGTCTTCTTTCTTCACCTTTTTCAACAACACAGACGCTATTCCCCTCTCTTCACCGTATCGGCCGCCACTCACAGGTCACCAACAGCCACCAACATCTACGATATCTTTCCGCTCTCCCCTGTTTCTCTCGCCACCCCTCTCTTCTCTTCTCTCTCATCACTCTACGCATCTCTGTCTCATCACTGCCTCACCATAACGAAACTGCTACGATGCCCTTTCACGCACCGCCATCGACGCTGCCCAGGTATGTCTCCCTCTCCCTCCCTCTCTGCTCCTTTCCTCTCTATGTGGCTCAGCGGCTTCTTTGATTAACCCGACCATTTTTATCCTTCTAATTGCACAAAACTTTTATTCTTTGCTTGATGGAATTGATCCAGTCTTTGATTTCCCTGTGTGGAATTGGTAATGCGTTCTTGGTTGAATAGAGTTATCACATTAGTTTCGCTTCTTTTTTTTTTAAATTTGATTTAATTGAATTTCATGCTGTTTTTTGATTGCAATTTGGATTCCGGCGTTGAAACATGATATGGTTAGTGATTTTGTTAATTATCTTTCTTTTCCTTCTCTATCTTACTTTTTTATTAACAGGGTATTACTATAAATTCACGAAGTATATGTGACTGCGATTTGTGAAGCCTTTTGATAAAAAAAGAACAATTCTGGCCTTTGAAACATGATGACATTAGTTTTTTCGATAATTCTTTTTTCTGTTATCTTCTTTGTCTTTGCATTCGTGGTTCGACAATCCCATTTTTCTTTTTTATTTTTAATTTAATAGCAGCCTGGTATGACCAAAACATCTTGTAAATCTATTTGAGCACATGTTGCGATTTTACTGTTCCTCCTAACTTTGGATTACAAATAACTGTTTTGTTCCATTGACACTATGTAGCATTTCTAATTAGCAGTTTGGTTCATATCTTAAAAGAAAAACTAACAACTTATGTAAGTAAATGCATATGATATTTCTATACACATGTATTGTGACAAATGTTTTTCCTCAATTGTGTGTGTTTTGGCATGTATCTGTACTTGTGCTGGAGTTCATATCAGATACTTATAGATAAATTTGTGTTGTTGGATCACTTTGTTCTAGAATTTTGTGTTTCTAAAGAATTTTATTGTTCTCTTTCCCACAACTCTCTCCCTCTCTCTCCGTCTATCTCTAAGCCTCTCTAGCTGAACATTAACTATTTTCTATATTAACAGAGCATTGAGGAATTGAAGCAGAGCTTTTATGCACCATCGTTGAACTTGGGCTAGTAAGCGTGGAAGCAAATGAAGAATCGAGAAAGAACAAGGAATATGAACCAATGGTTTCCAAAAAAATACTAGACGGGTATGGCTACTTCGTTTATGCTTAATTCAGTCGTGCTATATGGATAAAATTGATATTAATTATACTATTTGATTTGATTATCATATATTCAATTAGATTATTTTATTTTATCCATGCACTTAAATGACATAAATCGTAACTTGATTTAATATATGAACCTGATGAATATATACGATACTTACTATCAATGCTAATATTTTGTTTGTAAATCCAATTTATGAGACATGTAACATGATGGTAAGTCTTGGTGTGGTGTGATGGATGTTTCCTCTTACTAATGCTCATTTTTTTATGATTGTTAATTTGTTTGGGTTGGTTTAAATGGTTTGACTTTTTCACATGGCCATAGCTTTGTTGCACTACACCGATTTTTTTATCATTGTTGACCTCTACAAATGATTTTATCAACATGATTTTCTTAAGGTTTATTCCTTGATTTGTACTATGTATAGACATTGAATTGAAAAGAGAACGAACAACTAAGGGAAGTACTCATATTAGTATTATTATTCTGGTTATGTACGTACATCTATCAGAGCATGTATTGATTTTTTGGGTTAGTTTTTCATAATTTTATAATAGTCTTTAGTTTCAATAATGTATTTGCGAAGTTTATTTTTGAATTCAGTAGATTGCATTTTTTGGTAATGTTAATGTGAGAAGGTAGCTTGAATTTTAATACATGTGAATAAATGTTTACTATTAAGGGATATTGATTATGTGAAAGTTTTTGTTGCTGAAAAGTAGCCAGTTTGATTTCTATTTTTCCCTTTTCTCTTGTATCATGAAAGTTATTTTTTAATATTACATCACCCGACAAATTTTATGCTTGCTTGTGAGTTCATTATGCAGTTTTTTTGTTTAATTTTGATATTGATGTATTTCTCTTTCCCTTTCTCCCCTATGTATGCACACACATTGACAACACGTATAGAATAATTTAGGGATATCCCCTTATTATAAAACCTGTCAAAACATAAGTGATATAATTAGCAATCCTTAATAGTTACGCTCCATCATAGCATTCTTATAGGTATAATAATATAATTCGAACTTATTACAATGTACATGTTTGTTACAACACATTAAGTTAATATAAACATAAGTTGGTAATCCGACATACTCGGTATTTATACCACTCGTGTAAATTTGAAAAAAAGAAACAACATAGGGTGAGCATCAACAACTCTGTAAGAAATCTCAATTCTAAGACACAGGTTCGAAAATAAATACTTTGATATGATTGATATTATAAAGTACATTCATAGCTAATAATGTGAAAACGTTAAACAAAAAATAGTTTATGTACGAAAACGATAAAACCATACCATTACAGTGTCAAACCAGAGAAAAAATATCCTAATAGATTACTCAGGGTCGATACGACCCATACAATCCAACCTTTTAGGAGTCTTACACCCTAAAAAAGAGACGCTCCCAAATCACAATTCGCCTCAAGTCCGAAGACCAACTGGGTTGCACTTGCATTTACGAACTCAATGAAACCCTCTACGGTTTCAACTTGAAACGTAAACCCTCTGCCACTTGATATTGTGTGCACTTATATTTAATAGAAAATGATCCTGAGTTCTCTCAATCATTGAACAATTCAAACGATTATCCAATGCACATTTCCAAACCCTAACTGATCCAGAGTTCCAATTCAATACGAACCACCTGATCATAAGTTCACAAACATGTTAAACAACATTTATAACATAAATGATATATTTATAAAGAGAACGAAAAATCTCGCTAATTTCAGAATTGAAAAACTTTATCTCGATTTGCGTATCGTTCAAAAATTGTAAAAAATAGAACAATGAATGCTATCAATGAAATTCCACACACAACTCTATTTTAACTAATTAAACACGAGTATAAAATTAGTTTGGTCAAACAACCCCAAAATAGGGTCAAACTGGGACTTGAAGGGCAAAATAGTTATCTTACGTGAGATATTAACTTGAAGCGTCAGATCAGGAATTGGAGACCACAGGGGGATTCCTTGGGGAGACAGGAGACCAGCCCCACCAACCAGATGTGGATCAACCACCACTGCCCTCTCGCGTCGTAGGAGTAGGCTGCCTCCTCCCCCTTTCTTCTTCTTAATTCTTCTT